CTTCTAAATTAATCAAAATTACTGTCGCTTTGCAGCAAAAAAAAAAGAATACTGCTGAATAACCATTTATTAAAGAGTTTATTTATTATGCAAATTCTAAGCCATAAATTGTCAAAATACTAAAACACTTTTATTTATCACACTAAGTTGTAAGTTAAAACACTGAATATTAAGAAGCTGTCTAATTAAAGTGTCTTAAAATTGTTTCCAAAAATTTGTCATGAAAATTTTGTATTAAAAACGGTAATAAAAAATACCGAGTACCCAGGTATACTGAGCAGTTCATGCAGGTTAATACTAGTGGTATCAATAGAACGATTTGCCGGAATCCGTTCCCCAATGGGTGCTCGACACTGTTGGAATTTATCTTCAGCAATTGCTGTAATTATAATAATATTTTTTTTATCCTTGTTGGTTACATCCTGGCGTATATTCGCTTATGACGTTCTCATTCATGAGGTTTGTAATGGGACACAGATCATCGGCCAGACCGGAATGGTATATACTTTGTCTATGACAAACTGTAGAAAAATTTTGTAAATCTATTTATCTCAAAAAAGTATCGTTGTCGAAGAAAAAATTAAATGTAATTACGGGAGACTTCAAAATGTAAATCATTACTGTATTAAAAAACACTACCAATCAGACAGAAAAACCATTATAAATTTCAATACAGTTAACTAGAAATAACTTTTTTAAAGGCTCAATACAGTTGGCTCGATCGAACAAATTGTATATCCATATACCTGAATTATGGCCAGCTAATTCAGCTGGTCAGCATAGTTATTATTCCAATATTTGCCGTTGCGGTGCTAAATGTCCCACTGATTTGTTTTATGCGTAATCGTAACGCTATAAATAATACAAGAAAAAAGCGAGGAGCTTCTACAAATAGGTAAAGTTTTTATTCTGCTCCGTTTCAGTAAAAACAAATAAATCTAGGACTGTTTGCCGGCCTAACAATGTGATTTTTTTACCAGTTTTTATTCCGTAATTATTAGAATGAGAAGAAAGTTTTTTTTGCTATCAACAAAATTTTAACATGCTCTCAAAAATAGACGACTTTCATTGGAATAAAAAATCCTCAGCATTAACGCACTTATTCCACTGTAATATAAAAAGGTTTATTTTTTTCGCCTAAAAAGTGAGTTTTTGAGTCTCAGAGACCCTGCGATCGCCATTCTGAAATATAGTCTAATTTGGGAAATTTTCCCCTTCTAAGGATGAGTCCGAGAGCTTGATCAGGTGATAGTCCAAAACTACAGAACGCGGAGAATAAGGGTGCTAAGAAGGAATTTTAGAACTGAGCTATTTAATCTGCAAAAATGTTTTCAACGCTGCCTACAATTTTATATTGTCTTGAAGTAAAAATAAGCAGTATCTGTTCTTCACAAGTCATCTTGTTCGTAACTGTTTGCTCTTTCTTTTGAATAAGATAGAGTGACATTAGACAGAAACTTTCTAGCTATCTTAATTGCGCTTTTCATCGTTCATCGATGTTTAGTTTTTAAACCAAGCTCCACCAATCATCATAAAACAAAGCCTAGCCTTCATCATCAATACGATTACAAGCATGCATCCTTAACGGACCAATACAGATTTATACTCAACACCCCCTCTTTTTTTTTCTTTAATTCAACAGTATAACCATTTAGAACTTCATAAAAACTTCCAATCCAACCTTTTATTTTCTTTTTCAACAGTAAAATGAACAGAAGCTGATCCCTTTCTTTGCTTGCACTAATTCTTCTAAACTATTAAATACCATTAAATGACAAAAAAATGAATCTTATCAAATACTGTTTACAGAAGACCACGAAGTAACAGTGATTTCTGTATAATGCAAAGACAAGAACGTAAAGTTACTGCAACCGTATTAGCGATTGTAACTTGTTTTACACTAACTCATGTAAGTCTAGTACTCTTCCGTTTTACTAATCGTGTCAGTGACGACGTCATAACACTGTTAAAAAAAATCTCTTCCAGAAAACATAAAAACAGATATTACTTCGATTGATCTTTAGGCTCCGTCACTGATTCCAGTTTTAATGCTAACTTGTGGAGTTAAAATTTCCGATACCAACTATTCGATGACTGCACATATTGCGAACTCCATTGTTGTCACGGGAAAGGTTTTGAACTTTCTACTATTTTGCACAAGTTCAGCTCATTTCCGGAGGAAACTGCTTGCGATATGCGAAACTATTTTTTATAAGGTAGGGATAAATGCTTCACAAATCCTTCTGAAAATTCTACTTCATGAAATGAAGTGACGTAGTCAGTCTTTTTAAACTCTTGCTTGTCTCATATCGCTCCAAAACGCTCTCCTCAATCTATAAAAACCAGAAAGTAGTCTATGAACTGTAAGAGTGATAAGTTAGCGGCAGATGTAGCACTTAATCGAATTAAATTAATATGGAAAAAACTGCAATTTTAGATCAAAGGACAATCAGCAAAGAAGAACTCAGCTTCACTAT